TAACCCTTTCCAATACATTATGGGCAACTCCAAGGAACTAAGGAACTAGGCTTAAGTTTAACATAATGAATCACCATTAAAAATCTAGTCGAAGCTATTACAATACTATTATATGTCAATAGATTACCTTCACTATCAACCACTTTAGGGTTGATCATCATTTAACCAAGCAACTTTGTAAACACATTACTCATTATTACATGGATATGATATAAGTATCACAATGACTTAATCATCAATTGAGCAACACCATGAATAATGCATATGTCACTGCTACAAAGGATTATGGGAGTATCAAGTATCAACTTGACTCGACAAAATGCAACATAAATGCCATAGTCCACCGATAGAGATTTATAACACCCCGCACCACTAATTTTTATTCACAACATGGACAAGCTCATGCCGCTCTCTTTCTGACCAAACTCAAAACTAATCCAACACCAAACTACTTAAGGAGTAATAGCAAGGTTCTCTGGAAAAGAGTTGAGCATTGCAACCCAAATCTTTCAATAGCAAGCTTAGACAAAATGGTATAGCTTTTCACTCCCATGACTCACCACTTATAAGACTATCATCTCTAACATGCATCAAGATAGAGACTCTTGATTGCATACCGTGAACATGAGCAATGAGTTAACACCTCGTTGTAAATCATCTCTCCAAAAGAAAAGATGATTTACGTGTTTGATCCTTCATCCCTGATAACTCTCTTTTTGGTCTTATCTTTGACCAAACCTCAAGCTTGCTTTCACACTACCTTCAATCCAATCTAAAAAAAGTTTATGAAAGAGCACAACAATGATTACTTGAATCAATAGACTCATCCCTACAATCTTGATTGATCCACTTATAATTATGCCTAGGAAGGATCCACTAGTGCCGTGCTAAATAGTTATGGACCAGCCTATTTGCCACTCATAGCAAACCCAGGGAAGGTTTACCTTCACCCACAGTACTTGGAACAACTCATGGAACCACTGATAGGCTAATATTAATCTTGTCAACTCAAAGTGTAACCTTGAGCTGCTAATGTGCCTCACTCACAAGCCCAAGCAAAAACTTGTGCAAAATGGTACACCTCAAATCTATCCTATAAGCCCAAGAGCAAGCTCACATCATAAGGTACAACAAGGTAACCAAATCTATACCCAAGGAACAATTGTGAAGTCTTTACACCCATACGTGTACCCACTCAGATCATTGTTTTCATCTCTATGTATGCAACAAAACTAGTTGCCCAATCTCATTAGATAGTACTCACCGAGACTCATCCTCTAATACCAAATGTAATGCACATGATTTTTACCCTTTATCCTATGGTGATTTACCATAGGATACCCTTATGTGCCACGTGTCACATGCCACGTGTCCATAGGACAGTGGTGTGGAACCTGAGGTTCAGGGCCTTGGGCCATTAAACAAAGGAACGGTGCCAAACTCCCAAGCATGGAGCTAAGGAGTGACAGAACTGGACCACGGAGCAACTCCTAACCATACAGCCCAAGGAGTAAAAGGACAGAAGCCCGAAGCAACTTGGAATAGTCCTAGAGCAACTACCATCCCAATGCTAGGATCAGCATGCAAAACATAGTCAAATGGAATTTTAGTGCTATTTCGGCATATTAATGGCCTAACGCAAGGACATGGGTACTCCACCAGCTAGCATGGTGTGGAATTTAGGCTTAAACCTAAGCTGGACGCAAAACAAGGATAGGCACGCAAGTGGGAGTTAAACTAAAGTTAGTCGACTATGCCTACTATCCCTACTATATATTTGGAACCCCCCCCCATCCCCCCCCCCCCTTGAGGAACACATGCTTTGGGCTTTCACCCCAAGCCTCCCTTAGTATCAGGAGTTAGTCTCCAGGACAATAAAGAGAGAAAACTCTAAAAGCTATTGAGAAGGATGGAGAGGTTTTTTCTTCATTTTCGAGATAACCCATCTCTTTCATTCTCTAAGAGTATAGTTTCTAAAAGTTTTTTATATCGGCATTTTAATCTTTGTCTTAGCTCTATTTCTTTAGAGGCTGTGATTCTCAACGACACCAGTATAGTTGCATGTTTGAAATTTCTTCTTTCTGGTGTGGGTGAGGGTGGGCAACAATAGAATTTGCAAAATTCCAAGTTAAAGGAGATTCAAGTTTTTGAATCTCCAGTCAAAGTGCCAAGATGTGCTTCAGCCAAAGTGTGGGAGCACATGCAAGCAACCATGATTCCAGTTCTGTCCTGGTGACAGTGTCCATAAAGTGACCATACATCACGTCTCCGGTCGAGGTTTCCATGGCCACCACCCCAAATCTAGGATCAAAACTTCCCCTCACTTCATCCTTTCTAGCGTTGGCCTTGTGCTCAGTGATTGCCTCCTCCACAACACACATGATATAGCTGCTAAGACAAATAGGTCCATCCCTTTCCCTGCTCTCTTCTCCCCCAAGAAACTCCCCGGCCTCAAGCATGGCCTTGGTATATAGCACCGAGAGATCTCTCGAGAATGGGCCAGCCTTGTTTGTCCTCTGAGCTTTGATAGACGCTTTCTCGGTCTGCTTGACAACGCCAACTTTGTAGCCAGCTTCCACACGCCTTCTCACATGTACGTGCAGCCAGAACGTTGGAACGCTGGCAGTGAGAAAGTTGTGGCTGTAGTAAGCAATGATTCCCAAAACATTGGCTGCTTTCTCCACATCCTCTCTGAAAAATCGAAACTTGTATCCCACCTCGACCATGAGAAGGATGTCTGGGAATTTCTTCTTGAGCTCCACAATCTGCTGCTCCAGAGGAGTAAGCTTCTCCTTCCCTGATGGCGGCTTTCCATAAAAGGAGGAATTTCCACCACTGCCATCCTTGTTCCCCTCTCCAAGAAGAACATCTACAAACTTTCTACGCCTGTCTTTAATTGCTTCCCCCGATATTCTGCAATCAGCATCCTTCCCATCACCCGACCCGGCGTCTACATCTAAATTCAAGCACCGTTTCTTACTTGCGCTGGCCACATTCTCGGCTGATCGCCTGAGATGATGCGGCAATGGCCACACAAGTGTGGGAGCCTGCGATGCATCGGTCTCACCTCGCTTGAAGAAGCTGGGGATGATCGCCTGGCCCTTGGCGGCGGCAGCGCCCTCGTCCTTTCTCTTTCCCTTATAAACCCTAAGATTCTTGCCTGGATCTTCAAGCCCAACAATATTATGGATACCTACAGCCACCACCCCAAATCTAGCACCCAGCTGCTAAGACAAATTGGTCCATCTCTTTCACCGCCCTCTTCTCCTCCCAGAAACTCCTTAGCCTCAAGCATGGCTTTGGTATATAGAGAGAATGGGCCAGTCTTGTGTCTTGGTACGCCAACTTTGTAGCCAACTTCCACAAGCCTTCCCATACAGGCAACCGGAATGAGAAAGCAGCCAATTGTCTTAGAATTTGCTTATCATAGCCACAGCTTTCTCACTGCCAGCGTTCCAACATTCTGCCACATCCTCTCCAAAAAATTGAAACTTTGTATCCCACCTCAACAATGAGAAGAGTGTCTAGAAATTTCTTCCTAAGCTCCACAGTCTGCTGCTACAGAGGAGTAAGCTTCTCCTTTCCTGATGGCAACTTTCCATCACAGGAGGAATTTCCATTAGAAGCATCCTGTCCCCAAGAAGAACAATTACAAAATTTCTATACCTGTGTGCTTGCAAGAGGATTTAGATGTAGAAGCCAGGTTGGGCAATCGGAAGGATGCTGATTGTGAAATATCAGGGGTATTGATTGGCTGCATTCTCAGCTGGTCGTTTAAGAAGACACGGTGGTGGAGCTTGTGATGCATCATTCTTGAAGTAGCTGGTGGCGGCAGTGTTCCCATTACTTAGTATATATATTATAAGATTCTTATATTACTTTATTAGATAATATTATTTGTAGGTGAACCATATATTAGGTGGTGGTGGCAGTGCTCCCATTACTTAATATATATATATTATAAGATTCTTATATTATTTATTAGATAATATTATTTGTGTGCCCTTTTTAACCACTATAAAATTGTTATCAATCATTTAGTGTTAGCTTACTTGCTACACTAGATCTAAGTGAGATGGGAACTCTTTGGCTAACTATTTTCATGTTGTATTTGCTAGCTATTATTGTTAGTTATTGCAATAGTAAAATTTCTGCAATATTTATCTTTGGAGACTCATTGGTAGATTATGGAAATAACAATTACATTTTAAGCACTTATGCAAAAGCCAATTTTCCTCCCTGTGGAAGGGATTTCCCTAGTGGAGCAACAGGGAGATTTTCAAATGGAAATCTCATTCCAGATCTTATTAGTAAATTTCTATGGTTTAATTGATGTCAATGAAGTGTTTAAATTTGTTCATTTTCAGCTTCATATTTGAATCTTCCACTAGTTCAACCATTTTTGTCACCCACAAAGAATATACAGCAAGGTGTAAATTATGGAAGTGCTGGATGTGGATTGTTCAATACTACTGGAAATACATTTGTAAGTTTGTTTAAAGATAATTCTTTTAATTTTTAATTATTTGTTTAGAGAATCTTTCCAAGCCAAAATTATCCACGACCTATCTATCTACAAGTGCAAAATTTTATTGAAGATAAACATACACTCATATCTCAAATTGGTCTAAATGCAACACTAAACATTATAAACAAGTCTATGTTTTATATAACATATGGATCTAATGATATAGCTAATAATTATTATGAACCTGGTTCTTCTTTGCCAAGTCAATACACAATCTTAGAGTTTATTGACATTTTGATGCAACTTTATGATACTCAAATTCGGGTAAACATAACTCATAACTTTAAACTATTATATGATCTCTTTTTTTATGTTTTAGGTTTTATATCAAGAAGGAGCACGCAAAATTGTAATTGCATCCTTATTTCCACTAGGTTGCAGCACACTCTTTTTGATCAGATACAATGTTACCCAACCTAGTCAATGCGTAGATCTATTTAACAAAGCAGCAACACAGTTTAACTGCAAGCTTAACTTAGTTTTATCTTATCTTAGATTAAATTTACCAGGACTTAACATTTTATATGCAGACTCTTACACTATACCACTTGATATTGTTCAAAATCCTCAATCATATGGTAAAATTCTATTAAAGCAAAAGAATTTATTGATAAATTTTAATCACAAAAAATTGTAACAGGCTTCACAATTCCTAATGTTGGATGTTGCAACTTCATAGGACCCAATGAAAATACTTTAGTGACAGAATGTTTACCTTTGGCTCCATCTTGTTTAGATCCAAGAAAGTATGTTTATTGGGATCAAGTTCATCCTACCTCTAAAACTTATAACATTCTTGCTAATCTATTTTGGAATGGAAGTGATTATATATATCCTATCAATATCCAGCAATTAGTTGCTAAATAATAAAATTCTGTTGATAAAATTATAGAATAAAATTTTAAAATGAAACATTTTAAAGTAATTTATAAATATCCTAAATACTATATTATGATAATGTTTATGTTAAATGTTTTACTTAAAATAATAACTAGCAACATAAACATATTAATTAATCATGATTTATATGTTTTAGAATTTAAAAATTATCTAATAATTTAAGAGCACTAGATTATGTACAAAATAGTTTTACTTCTATTTTCTTCACCATTACTACCACTATAATTTTAAAGATAAAATAACTCTTAATGAATTAAATAAGAAGTAACACTAATTTTCCATAGATAAAAATAGTGTTATCCCACTAAATTAATAGTAAACATTTCTCCTATAAACCCTACAAATAAAATTTATTTAGTTAAATTTATTTTAAAATTTTTGAATTCACCTATATCAAGCTATGTATATTTTTGGATTTTACTTAGTTAATCTTTGGTTTTTTCTTGATGTTGGTTCAAATAAATAATTTAGTAACTTTTTATTATATAATTAGGAAGAAACTATGATTTGTTGTTTAAAATTTAATTACAATAAATATGAAAAATATTAAATGTTTTTATTTATAAAAAATCTTTATTATTTAAAACGTTAACTAATCCAAATCCTATTATATAAATTTCATGTTTTACTGTAGATAAGGAGTTATATCAACTTATAGTTATTTTGGGTTTAGCAAAATATGTAATAAAAGGTAATTATGGATAAAATAATTGGTCATTTGAAGGTTGTTTTAAGTATATAAATTATAATTTATTGAGTTCTTTTTATAATAGAAAATATAAATAATATATACTTATTTTTATTATAAATTAAATAGGAGTTTTGATAATTCATAGAAATCTAAAAATTAAATAAATTTTATTAAAACCGTCACATTATTAGTAAAACATAGTTCCTTGGTTACTAAACATCACAATATTTAAGTAATCAAATTTTCTAAAATCTAATTAATTTATACACATAACAAACAATAGGAAAAACATAATCGAGATACTATTGTTATATAGTATACTGCTTGTCTCAAAAAAAAAAGTGCTCTTTACTTTTGTCTTTAAATAGTAACTTCTAAAGTGACTAACAAAGTTAAACCTGATACCATTTTGATATCAAATGTAAACTTTTGAAATTAAATTTCATAGGAAATCATCCAACTCAATATTATTCAAACCCAAAAATGTTTAACGCTAAATATTTCAAGACCTTAACATATTAAAAGAAGAGGTGCACTCTTATTTATATTCCCTCTATATATAAACTTTTATGGATATTTTCTCAAGTTGTTCTCTTTGGTTGTTTATAATTTAAAACACTTTCCTACAAATTCACACATTTGTGAATGGAAGTTAAAAGTTGCAAGTCTCTCGAGCACTTTACTCTTTTGACAATTTACTTCTTAAATTGAGCCTAACTGAAGGTAAATTAAACTTTCCAGATATCAATTTCAACATATGATATGATTCCTTTAGCCAACAACTAGAGTTGGACTTGAAATTGTTTTAATACCAAATGTAAGTTTTTGAATTTAAACTTCCTGGGAAGTCACCCAACTTAGTAGTATTTAAATTCAAAGATATTTAACCCTAAATATCCTAAGACCTTTAACTAATTAAAAAAGGAGGTGCACTCTTGTTCATAAACCCTTTCCCTCTATTTCTCAAATCATTTTTTTTAGTTGCTTACACTTTGTTATGGTACTACAATAGCTATATTGAGGTGAATACAAGCAAGGCTGCACATTCACTTTGCCATAATTACTATGGTACCACTCTTGACATGAGTTTCAAAAGATCCAAAATTGGGTATATTATCATTACAATACATCCCAGTTTTGGACAGCTTTCAGCTCATGCAAATCATAAGGATCAATGCAAATCCCATAATCCCTCCTTTTCCTTCTCCCCAAAGTTCTCTTTCACTTTTTCTTCCTCTTCTTCATCTTTATTTCTTCACTTATTTTGTCACTACAGTGAGCAGCTTACATGCTTAAGATCTTTGGAACTTCAAGCGAAAGAAAGGAAACTTTTTTTCTCTTGGTTTTGCTACTAGATGTCTTTATAACACTTTGAGGAGTAGTAAGAATATTTAAGATCCTATAATATTCTATTGCAGGTGCCATAGCGTAAGAAAGAGAGAGCACAAGATATGGACATGAATCTGTAGAAAGGTGCTCGTTGAGAGCTACCTAATCAGACATCCATTACAAACCATGGTCAGTACTCAGACTGAGAGTGTATGGAGCGAATATACTTGATGGGCCGCCCAATCACGCGAATGGCGAGGTCCGTGCTCGTGATAAACTCTGGCAGCTCATCGATCAAGTGAGTAAAGATTTTTGTGAAGAAAGAGTTCCTCTAGAGGGTCAGGTATGCCCTGTATCATCTGGGAAGAGTGGCTTCTTGCATTTTCCAGGGCAGTGTGGAAGGCATTGGAACTTCCAAGAGCTCCATCTCCCACAAGAGCATCTCCACTGCCCAAGATCTAAAAATCATGGTATTTGTGTTCCAGCAATCTTAAAGCCTTTGTACATGGATAGCTAGGTTGCTAATAGTTTTTGGTTTTCTTCCAGGGAAAATGTATTGGAGACCACGAAGCTGGTCTCAAGAAAGTGATGGATTTGCTCCAGCAGCCACAAAACGTTTGCGCTGTTGGGCACCGAGTTGTTCACGGCGGCGAGCAATTTAGCAAACCAACGTATATAACTCAAGAGGTGAAGAAAGCAATCGAGAGGGCTGTTCCTCTAGCTCCACTTCACAATCCAGCAAACTTGGAGGTAACAAATCTTAACTTTCTTTTTTCCAAAAGGAAAAATCCATTTTTTTGTCCCATTTTTTCTCCAACCTTTCTCTTAAAAAGATCACAAAAACTTTCCAGGGAATTCGAGTTGCTGAGGAGCTCTTCCACTGCCCCCACGTAGCCGTCTTTGACACTCCACCATCCCCCGGCCGTCGTACACGTACGAAATACCCTGGAAGCTGTACGAAGAGCTGGGCGTACGGCGCTATGGCTTCCACGGGACAAGCTACCAGTTTCTTCTTGGCAAGGCCTCCTGCGCCCTTGGAAGGCCAGCGCTGGAACTTAATTTCATCGCCTTCCATCTTGGCGCTGGAGCGAGCGTGTGTCACGGGCAATCGATTGACACAAGCATGGGAATGACTCCGCTCGAAGGTTTAGTAATGGCTACTCGGAGTGGCGGTGTTGATCCGGCGATCTGGCCCTTCTCGCAGTGCACAAATCCATGGGCTTGGCCGAGATCGATGCTTTGCTCAACAAGGAGAGTGGGATCTATGGGATTTGCAGAGACAAAGATTTGAAAGAAGTTGTTCAGGCCGCGGATAGTTCCGACAAGCACAGGCTAGCACTGGAGGTGTACGTCCACCGTATAAGGAAGTATCTGGGAGCGTACATTGTTGATCTCGAGGGGAAAGTTGACGTGCTGGTGTTTAGCGGTGGCGTTGGCGAGAGGTCGGCTAAAATCCGGTCCATGGTTTGCGAGAGGCTGGAGGCTTTTGGAATCCAGGTTGACGAGGAGAAAAATGGTAAAAGCTTGAGAGAGATCCACAAGGATGGTTCGAGGATCAAGGTTTTGGTGATACCGACCAACGAGCAGCTTTGTATTGCGCAGCAAACTCGCGAGGTTTTGGAGAGTTTAGAATCTCCAGTTTGTGAGAAGAAAACTACGAGTGGGGGATAGGATTCACTAGAAAACTTTGAATGATCTTGGTTGTAAATAGAATGGATTGATTGAAGTTATAAGAGAACAAAAGTTATCGCTACATGGTCTTTTAAGTAAAACTACTGAAAACCATACTCCTCTACTATAGCTTGATCTCTTCGCTTCGAATTGCAACCATCAACGAATTGGCAAGGAGAACGCTGGATTCTTTGATCTTCTCGAGCATCACATCAGCTGCAAGAACCAATTTGATAAGTTTTTGACGACAAGTTTATGACGTGAGACTGATAGACAGGACTTACACATGATTTGTCTTAGCTGAGTTATCACCATCTGTATAGATCACAAGAACTCGGTTGAGATAGAAGCAAAGCAATGAACAAATGCGACTTATGGATTTCCAGGAGGGCCCTGTTGTTGTTGTTGCTGCTGCGGCTGCTGCTGTGCTGGATTGTAGCCTCCAGGATTGCTTCCTCCACCTGGGTTGTATCCATTGTTGTTCCCAGTATTATATCTGCTCGCCGGATTAAAACCTCCACCTCCGGCACCTGAGGAAGGATTGCTAAAACCTCCCTGGCTTGGATTGTTAAATCCTCCTGGACTACTTCCTGAACCACCACTATTGCTTCCCAGATTGTTGAAGCCTCCTGGACTATTGCCTGGACCACCACTGTTGCTTCCTGGATTGTTGATCCTTCGGGATTGTTACCCCCAGAGCTAAATCCAGTTGAAGTGTTTCCAGCACCAAACCCACTAGGATTACTTCCATAGCCTCCACCTGCATTTCCTTCTGGACTAGGAGACCACCCCGGATTTCTACCTTGTGCACTAAAACCACCTGGACTGTTTCCGGGATTTGAGCCAAAACCTGAGTTAAATCCCTTTGGATTGCTCATGTGAAGCAAGAGTTAATCATTATCCTTTTGTCCTCTTTTAGTTCAAGTGGACAAGTCATGCTAGTGTTGGTGTCGAATTCACCAGCTCCAGCTCTAGCTCCAACTTTAGCAATATTCAAAGTTGTTAGCAATGCTTTCTAGTTTTCATGCCTCTCAATCGATGTACATTTATTTTTGTATAGGCTCGTGAGTGAGCTTCCATCCTTCTACAACAGCAACATTTTCTTCGAGCTACCACATCTTGTCAGCAGCATAGGTTTTAAATGGAAAGGGATGGAAACTAAGCAAGATGTTCACAATTGGTGCAAGATCAAGACCATACACTTTCAACATTTTGAAGACACAGTGTCTATAGTTCATTGTGGTGGGCATTTAGATTGCATGGATGAAGCATGTAATTCAGATTATTGTAGGAATTCTATATTTTTTCAAGGGTTTGCAGTCAATCCTCCAGCCTATGACACCATTGCTATTAAATTCAAGTGTCGATTCTGCAAAAACACTCCTCTATGTTGTGCTATCTTCAAGGCCAAGATGTACTACTTTCTTCTATTAGATGGAGTGGTTGGAAGAGTTGCAGTATTTGTTAGCACACACATGCATCCAATGCAGGAAGGGATATGAAGGAGTTTTTTCAACCATTTCAAAGATGTTATGCATTAAGAGACTATAAGAAATTCATTTGCAACTTGAAAGAATGTTTAAAAGATAGTTCTTAAGGATTTTATAGCAAATACCTTACTTAGGTTGCCAAAAGACTTAATTAAATGATACTACAAGGAGTACAACTGGTACTAGCCTAAGGAGGTATGTCCATTATATTTCGTACGTTATAATAATATCTTTTCTTACATTATATTGTTTAGGATAAAATCTTGGATGTGTGAATCTAGAGAGGGGAAGTTGCAATAAAAAATTGACTCCATCCTTAAATTGAAAAGGACCTATCTATATAAGTTCATCCATGAAAGTTTATTTCCAGACCAAGTTATGAATGAGCAAAAGTGCCTCTGTAAGGAACCAACTCCCTCGAGGTGTCAAAGGCTAAAGGATCCCTGAAAGCATAACCGAAATGATAAGGAGTTCATCGGATGAGACCGAGTCTAAGATCGAGTTTGAGAACAACTCTAAAACCAAGTTCAAGACTAAGTCCGAAAACTATATTATTTTATTATGACAACTATTACAGCTGTCATATTTGATTTGACTACTTAATATTTTGAATACTTTTACAGCTGTAGATACTATTCCTTCATTCAAAAGATTTTTTAGGGTTCTTGAGAAGATGGGAAGCAAGGAAAATACAAGATCTGTGAGTAAGAGTTGTAGTGCAAAGGAATGTGAGAATGTTAATTTTGTTTCACTACCACAATCTCCATATTACACTCCTGGTCCTTATTACCCATTTGGGAATGTGAAGACCACTATCACAATTGATAAAAATGCTCTTGTTACTTCTGAAACAACAGTCTAGAGCAAGAGAAATGAAGAAATGAATAGCACAGCGGAAAGCACCAAGAAATCTACTCCATAAAACTTTCCATGACATTTGTAATTTATATATTAATTCATATTAAAAACTCTATTGCTTGCCTATATCGCAATCCTCTCATATGATAAGATCAAGGTATATTTTGCAGTGAATCCTCATTAAAATTTTTTGGGAATTGTTTGTAAATAATGATAAAAGAAATCAAAATCTTTCGAAAGACTCAAAAGTAATATCACATCAAAGAATCAACTTTATCTACATTTCCAAGACTGAAAGGCATTCTCACATGAGAGAATGGTAGTGTGCCAACATGCTCTACCACTATAATGTGGTCTATATTTCCTTGCAATTTATTTCCCTAGACATTTGGCATGTGTAGAAAAGAATATATGTGTAGCAAAGTAGGATTCATCATAATGATAGAGCATGTGTATACATGATAATCTAAAATTCTAGAAGCTCTTATGTTTACAAGAAAGCTATGATTATGAAGCCCCATTTCCAAGACTAACATTTAAAGAATCTAAGTATTGTCAGTGTCATAATAAATAAACCTCATTCCCAAGAATCTGAGTATTGTCAGTGTCATAATAAATAAACCTCATTCCCAAGACTAAAACTTAGTATATAAACTATCTAGAAAAGTTATAGTCATTGTAGGTTTTTTGTTCTCCTTGAGCTCCTTAGAAATTTATATTGAAATGGCTCAAAGGAGACTCATTGCTAATCGTACTTGGCCCCCCAACATTTTATATTAATCTCCACCTCCATCCCCAAGTTCTACCAACATTCCACCTTCACCTCCACATAACAATCCTTTTTCTGCTAAGGGCTCTAGTGAAGTTGAATTAGAGCTCCTTATATGTGAAATTCTGGATCTTGCTACTAGAGAGGGATTGCCTCCAGCGTTTTAAGAGCAATGCCACATGTTTTTGCAAGATTTTGCTCTTGACATGGTAGGACTACTTGAAAGCACAGAACGCTATTACATTTGATGTCTAATATGCTATTTTTTCTTGGACAAGACAAATGGCTCTATGGGTTTACAAACTTTTCTTAAGCACTGTAAGAATTGCCCAACGGCAGGTCTGGAAAATGTGCACGTGTGGATGTACAATAAATTCAAGAATGAGTTACAGACACATACCCACTATCGCTTCATGGTGAGGAATAACATCCCCTTGGGAAACACTACATTGGCTAGTGCAAAATATGGGGCTTTTAGGCCACCCTATAGTGGAATGTAAGATCTAGAATTACTTTACTATACTATAGTATTGTCACTATTAAAAGAAAAAATATAATAAAATGATATTAGTTGTAGGTAACATACCTTGTTCTAGAAGGTACAATTGTTTACAAAATGTTGAAGGAGGAGATGGCAACACACAAGTGCTACAAAGTGATGGTGATAGGTGAGAATGATAATCTATAATTATGGTATCTGACACTGACACTGACATCTGACAATTTTACTGACATCTGACACTTTCACTGACATCTAATATATAACAAGCTTTCCATTTTATGTAAGGATGCAATTAACTTTCTTCTACCTCATCATCAACATAATGATTTCTTTTATACTTCCTCCTATATTGGTATTGTGGGGAAGATTCACCTTGCATATGTTGAGCCATGGCTTTTGCATAGTCAAAGAGACTTCCAAAGCCTCAAATTCTAGAAACTCCAGGTGACTGTGATCTATAAAATAGAATGAAATATATATTGAAATTTTAATAAACATAATTTACCTCCTTGAGGTTGAAGGCAACTCACGAAATCCTTTGAGCCGGCATTTGAAGAAATGATGTTCTTCAATAGCAAACACTAACTTACCAGAGTCACGTGCTGCCTCCACCATAGAACCGCTACCTGCTGTGCAATCAATCACAACACCATCTGGTGGGCAATAGAACTCAAGCAAGACTTGCATTGCCGATGGAGTTCGGAATCAGTACCCTGGAAATGTGTTGCGGATCTGCT